AAATTAAGTAAACATCTTAGAAAGTTCAGTTTGAAAATCACTGCCTTCAAAGATCCTGCTGGTTCCACTGAGAATTGATTAAAAAGGTTAGCCTCCCATTCTGAAAAAAGGATGTGACTTTTGGCTCTGGCTAAGATGGAGTAGCCCCATTGCTCCCAGGTCCTTCCCTTTGTAACTGAAAAAACATGGACATTGCAAGCAAAAGGAAGAAGGTAGTGGACTACCTAGGGACCTCAGGACTCAAAGAACAAGGCAATGAGTTCCTTGGATTTCCTTATTGCCTCCCATATATCTTGGAGAGGACACTGCAGAAACCTCCAACATGGAACTGCCAATAAGCACAGATTTAAAAAAAAAAAACAAAAACAAACAAAAAACTACCAGAAAAGTCTGTTGCCCATAGCCAAAAGATTGGGAAAGAAGTGGCCTCACAGAATACAAATCTTGGCAACACCCACCCTACTATAATAGACACCAGCAGAAAAACTGCTACTCCCCCTCCCCTGTGGTTTCGGGAGAGCTGAACAGGAAGTGGTCTTCTACCCCCATGAAAGCAGGCAGCAGCACTCCAATTCCCCTACCCAGTGGGGTTGACCAGGCTAATACTGTCAGCAGGGTCCAGAGGTAAGTTGAACCTCCACCCCCACTTGGCAGCAACAGGCAGAAAGAGGTAGGACAAGATGGTAGGAGGTAGCACTCCACTTCCCCCAACCTCTCTCCTGGTGTGAGTCAGCAGGGAACTGAGTTTATAACTCCACTAGGAGGCAATGAGGTGGTGAAAGTCCGTGTCCTACTTTCACCAAGAAGGTGTGAACACGACCAAAGGGGAAGCTAAACGTCCACCTCACCTGTGTGCAATGAGGCAGTGTGAGTCAGTGCTCTACTTTTGTCAGGGTAGTATCAGAGGAGCCCATCAGGAGGCTGAACACTCACATCTACCCAGCCTCTACCCATACCTCAACAGGGGACTACCTGCTAAAAGAGATGACAGAATTAAGATCCAGAGTGTTACAACATAATATCCAAAATGTCCATGGATTTTATAATTTTGAAGCCTTTTATTAGCCATCACCTGAATATTCACTATGGTCTCTAGCCTCAGGAATATACAGCATAAAAAGACAAAGATAATCACAGACATAAAGACTTAAAATACGGTGGCATAGGTGTAATAACACAGGGTTGTACAGAGTAGAAGGTAGTACAACCCTATTGTGATCCAGGCAGGGCCACTATTTATTTTACTAAAACCCATTTAACAGAGCCTATAATAGGTATCCAATAAATTAAGAGTATCTGATCAAAGGTCACTTAGCTAATTAGTGATCTTTAGCATACTCCCATTTCTTCTAAGATGAAATGACTTCAGATCTATAAACTTAGACAAAAACTCCATAGCAACTCAACATACAGGTGACAATCCAATGCAATTAACCACATGCCTCTCAATTATTATTGGAAATTTCATTTTGAAAGCCTTTGTTCAGAAAAGCATGAGTTTATGAAAATGCCATAACTAAAAAGTAGCCAATTCAGGGTCTGTTTGGGAAAATATGATTAGAAGCAACTCAGTTTGCATTCACTGAAGTACAGAAAAAAATAATAAAAAGCAACTCAGGGCCGGGTGCGGTGGCTCACGCCTGTAATCCTAGCTTTCTGGGAGGCCAAGGCGGGCGTATTGTTTGAGCTCAGGAGTTCGAAACCACCCTGAGCAAGAGCGAGACCCCGTCTCTACTAAAAATAGAAAGAAATTAATCGGACAACTAAAAATACATAGAAAAAATTAGCCG